ATCGAGAATATAAATTCCCATTATATCATTCTGAAACTTAAACTATCAAAACACAAAATCAATCCTTGCACGAAGCTAGGATCGAACACACGAACTTGATCTTTGCAGACGAACGGCAAAAATCAACTTCGCTGTTCTTTCCAATACATAAGTTTGTCATCTTGATTCCGAATATGATATTCTTATTGCTCAAAAGTTGAATTCTGATCTAGAAAATTGAGAATTACGGACGGAATTTTGAGTTTTTCGTCTCTTATTCAGAAAAAATAAATTTTCTGCGTGAAGAAAATTTTTTTTTGTAATGGCGAGATATACTTCTAAAGCTTAGCTTCTGGCGAATCTAACCATATGCAAATAGCGATTCCAGACCCTACACAGAAACCTGTGTTAGGTTTGGAAAACTGAGAACCGTTTTTGTGAGGCATACGTTTGGACAGTCTTGGTGACTAGACGTCTGGTTCTGAAACCGTTTGAAGACTGTTTTCTTGTCGGGTTTCGAATACTGAATCAGAAAAATACAAGTTCCGAAGCTTAAAATTGGAGGAAATCGAAAAATCGGTGTTTTTCTGTAGTGAGGATTTTGAGAGCCTTTCAGTATTTCGCGATTTTCTCCACCAAGAAAGGGTTTTCAGAATCTGGAAAGGTGTTATTTGTGACCAGCTTGAGGCAGCAAATCCGAATATGTATAATAAAGTCAAAAAGAAATTCCACTTGAAGTTTGGATTTCGTGCATCTTACAAAATAAACTTTACTTTTCAAAAATAATTGGTATCTGTTTCTCTCAGATGTACAATATTCAATGTACCTTCAAGATTCAATGGATCACTAACAACTTCTAAACAAGTTCCAGACATTAAAAGAATCTCGTTCTCACTTGGATAAGCCGTGTAGGATGATATATCTTTTCCATTTACACATTCAATTAAGAACAATGTACTATTTGTTCCTAAAAAGTCTTTGATAATATCCACGGATGATGAACAAGAATTAATACTCCACCAAACAATTTTATCGTCTTTTTTAAAATTTTTGCTCACATCCGTATACATTCCTCTCCAGGTAACAATTTTTTGTGGCTTTAACTTATTTAAAGCATTATCAAGAAGTTTTAAATAATAAAACCATGGTTTCAATGCTGGACGATTTTCTGAACGCAGTGCTTTATTCAAAATACGATAAAAACTACTATCACCCATTTCCATTGTATATAAATAAATAGCAGCTGATTCATCATGTGTTAAACCAGCGTCTGATGATGTTGCCCGCGTACAATGTTGTTTTGCAATGTTTACAAAACGTTTTAAATTATCAACTAAATGTAAAATTGGCTCAGTAGCAATTTCTAATGATACTAATGGTGAGTTCAAATAACCATAGACAGCTGGTAATTTTTTTTCAGTTAGTTGAATATCACAGTATCGTACGCTTGCTTTTGAAGTCTCATTCGAAGCAGGACCTTTATAAATTATATCCGGTGCAGATTCGAATATATTCTGTTGCACTGGGGATGCTGACACTACTGACAACGTCTTGTTGTCTATATTCTTACCAGAATATTCAGCTAAGGCCTTGATGATTCTGTCTTCCCTGGATACTAGAGGATCGATTGTTTTTGTTATTACGTCTCCTTTTGTGACAGTTTTCTTTCCGACAGGCAACGATAAATGCTTTTCTAGTTTGAAAATACCATGTTTTGGTTCAGATTTTGAACTAGAGCCAGGCTTATCGGATTGCTCTTTCTGCAATAACTGTATATTATAGTCCAGTTTTTTGTTAAATCGACTTTGTTGATGCTTGTCGGGTTGTTCATTGACGTTAGGTCGACTAATAGGATTGAGCATTGCTTTTCGTATGCCATTAATTTCGTTTAACATTATATCACATTGTGCAAAATTAGCAAATAGTTTTGGAATAGAACCTGCACCATCTGCCTAAAAAACAGTTTGTGATTTTGGATTAACCGCCGATATTCCGCGACGAACGTTCCTTTAAGGACTCTTCCGCCTAGTCTCGAGCTACACTCTCGCACGCTTACCAATAGTCGAACATCTCCCATAGAATCATTTTCGCTCAACTTGTGATGCATTAGAAATGATATTTTTGAAAGTTTTCAATTTCGAATACTATAAGTTTATATTATTATAATTTAATGCGATCTGTAACATGGTAGATTCTAATATATCATAACACATTTCAGTATTTTCTCTCGCTTAAAGCACTACAACGTGTAAATAGTTAATGCGTTGTAATGTCATAAACTCACTTTGTTGAAACATGTAAGGAACTTATGTAGCCTTATGCGTAAAACGTTGCAATGCGTTATAATGCGACAGAAATTTAGTAGCAGCATGTAACGGTATACAACTATTAACGCGTTAGTTGAGTTTATAAGATTGTAACATCATAAAATATAAGAAAGCCCTTGATGCACGTGCATTGTGATGCTATAGTTTCAACTGTCTGGCATTCTTTACCGCATAACACTAATGCTTTACAACGCACCAAGGTCGTTTTATTTCAAAATTCATAACGTTTTAGAATCAAATCTGCCACAACGGATTTTAACAAATAACAAAATGCATAACGGATTTTGGTCAAATCTTCTAAACGCCCTAAAAACCTGATTTTTCTGAAATTCTGATATTTCAATGAAATGTCGGGATCAAAAACGATTCTAGTGACTCCAGTTTGTACAGAAAACATTTATGGTTAAAATAAGACGCCTCCCTGCACCAAGGAGTGCTTTGATCAGAAGTTATGACAGTTTTACTAAGAGCCAACAAAAAACTCACAAATCCAGCTCTCTTACGTCGTTACTCTAACTTCATTTTATATTTTAAAACCAGCCCGAGCCCTCCAGCTTTTTTCAGAGAGGGGAAATCTGCCGGACGATAGATGCCTCATTTTGACCCATATTCGAGCGACGTCCCCTAAACGATGACAGATGGAGCCAGTAAACTTATGTAGTAACTGTTCCTCAACATAACCTAACATTTCGCAAAGTTTTCGCTCAGATCAGACTTGTGGTCAGCAAGATAGATTTCTAACCGGGGGGTGGGGGCTTAACGCAACAGAAAACTTAACATGTTATAAGGCATTATAGTATGTTTAACGCATCATAATTCTATTTTATGAACTTGAAAAACAGCTTTCTTTTAGGCACACAACAGAATACCCCCCAAAATCTTTATTGTGTTACCTCCTTGATTCATTTTAATGTGCTTTCAAGAAGAACGAAGAAAAAGTAACTATAGTAGCAGGGTAAATCCACGTAGAACTTACCAAGTTATACAAAAATTTGTGCGCCAGTGACGAGATATACCTCTCCAGATCTAGTTTTGGATGCTGATTCCAGTGGCGAAAATCGCAGCTCTCCAGATGATTAATTTCGTCTTATTTCTGCAGCTTTGAGCTGGCAATGAACATTTAGGGCTTTTCTTGTAAATTCTATAACTTGGCAAAGAAAGGTCGTGTAGATGGGGAGATGTCTCAAATTAATCAGAAATGTACAGGTTACAATCAGACCTTATTAAGAAAGGTTTTGGTTATTATTCAGAGTTTCTGAAAAACTGGGTTTCCAAAAACGGGGATCTCGAGAGACCTTTGGGGAAAAACCATTATGATATTCGGATTCAGCATGGTCGATTACCTGTCACCCACTAGGTTTCGTCTCAAAAGCGATGGGACAGTTGGTGTCTTCCCTCAAAATGTTTTCACATATCTGAATAGATCTCGACGAGATCTTTCCTTTGAGATCAAATTGAAAGGTTTTCCATGTGGGATTTCGGTTCTACAAGCTTCGGCCCACAAAAAAGGTCATCTCTGCAGGAAAACGGTGAAAAATGCTGTTTTGCTAAAAAATAAAATGCGTATAACTTTTCTCTGCTGCGGTTTTCGCCATTGGAATCAGCATCCAAAACTAGATCTGGAGAGGTATATCTCGTCACTAGCACACAAATTTTTGTACAACATGATAGGTTCTATGTGGATTTACCCAGCAATTTTTTTTGTAACAAATTTAAAAGTAGGAGCCGTTTCACAAAGGTGGACCGAAAGGGGAATATTAACTAGTCATTCTCTCAGTTCTGGATCGAGTTTGATACGCACTAATTAGCTCATAAACGTGCAACTTGTAGAAAATGAGAATTATTGTTTGCGATCGTCGGCTGAAAGTATTGTTTAAACTATGAATTGGGAGAGAAAGAATCAGGCAATAGAAAACATAACATGTTGTAAGGCACTTTGTTATGCTTAACGCATTATAATTCAGTAAATAAGGAAACAAACTTCCGATGAGTTCAACAAAGCGTGAGCCTGAAAGTCAAGAGGCTAATAACATTAAGTGGTGTTCCACGTTAGCGGAAGAGTCGACGGATATTTTTATGGAAAAAGTTCACTCTGTTTTCAGAACAATCATGTCATACACAGTAGCTTTGTTAAAAATGACTAAAAAACTTTTGATTTTTAATTCCTCTCAGTTTCTAATATGAAATAGCCCTTTGAGTAGCTTTTCTACATTATACGTACAATTGCTGATAAAACAGTACTTACATGTTGAATATAAGTATAAATGAATCCTTGATTCGGATTATTTTTCCTTCTTTCAATCATATGTGCACCCTTAAATATTATTCTAACACAATGTTTATCTAATGGAATCTGTTCATTTATTGTAATAGAACGATAAGATAGAATAAATGCTTGATTATCAAATAAATCTCTACGCATTTTTAAATAACATGTATCACGTGGTGATACAAATTTTATTGGTGTTTTATATTTAAAATAGCATATTTCTGTTTGTGGATGTTTTTGATATTTATCCGTATATATGTCACCATCTAAATAAAGTTCATGCCATTCATGATGCCGTTCTTTCAATGATTTATCAAGTAAATCTTCAATATTATCCATGTTTCCTACACATATTTCACCTTTTACTTTTATCCACCATATTGAATCTTTTGGTATTTTACATATACTACATATATCATTTGTTTCTTTATTGCGCTTATGTTCATGCCATAAATTTTCGTTTAAAATTAAGTTTAAATCTTCATCAATAAAATCATCAATTTGCTGTTGAGAATATGGAACAGTACTATAATAAACTTCTTGTTTCAATTGAGATTCAGCCATTATATAGTGCTGTAAAAGAAAAGAAAAAATAATTTTTACACAGTGCTTACGTTCAAAATTTTTTGGTTTTTCATGAAAGTCTGATTTTCAAAAAATTTATTTTTATTTTATTAAAGTCAGTCCTTATCTTAGGAAATCCGGCAGCCTAGAAATTCGAAACTTTAGAATCTAGGAATCTGGGAAAAGTATATGATCTTTTTGCAAGATTTTCATTGGTCTGAAGCAAACAAAAGCACTAAGTTACTGCGCAAATATAAAACGGCATAGATTTCCACAATGGAGGAGGAGTGGAGGAGTAGGGGGCAACTTTTAGAGTCATATGACTTTTATACACCAACCAGATGATTCCAAATGTACAAAAAATACTGCAATCTTACAGCTGTAACATTCCTTTATATTGACATAATAGATACCCTAGTGAACGTACTTGCATGCAGCTACTTGCTCGAGTATCCTCGCAAGTTTTGTCCAATGTTCTTGCGTTTTTCTGTAAGTAAACCAAGTACTTTGCCAAGCACTTACCCAAGTAACCGCCAAGTACTTACGGGAGGTTCAACAAGTAAACCAAGTACCCAGTAAGTGCTGTCTGACATTTATCAAGTAGTATTTTTTGAAAATGCTCATCAAGTGCTTGTCAAGTACTCGTATAAATTCTCAAGTACATAAGTATCCACCAAAAAGCACATTCACTAGGAAATATTGTACAATAATGGCAACGTGCTAGTGACGTTACATGTACAGGTGAATAGAAAAGAACGTTAGTGGCAATATATTACACATAATTCAAACGAAGAGAGAAAAAAGGTATATTAACACGCCTTCGAAAAATGTGCCGCACACAAATATTTTTTATTAGTCATCCATGAAACGAGTGAGGGATTTTTTTCGCATAGAATTTTTTTTTCGTATAGAATTCAGCACGTACTTCCATTAAAATCAATGAAAATTTTTTCAGTCCCTATGGACAAGATTTTTGTCTAAGAAACAAATACGCTGGAAATAGAAATTTTTTCTAGGAAACATGACAGATTACACAAGCATGACAAAAAAAACCTACTAGCTTCATAACCGGCTGCAACTAGCTTTAAAAAAATGTGAAAATATTGAAGCGGGCTAACGGGCGCCGCAGTTAGCTACATTAGTTTCGATTTCCTGTTGCAGCCAGCTTTATAAGCTTACACACTACCCAACGGGCGCTATAGTGGGGGCTTAAGCTAGTAACGAATTAGCTAACACAATCTACTAACACGACCTTCATAAAAACAGGTACACAAAAATCATTTTGTGCTTAGAAAACTTTTGACTATCAAGAGGTTTAACTTTTCTCAAACGTATCACCATCGGCTTTGCTAAAAAAAGGAACCAAAATCAATATTTCCCATACAGAATCGCCTGTTTAGATCCAATTTTTTTTAAATCACACTCATTCAGGTGAACATAAAAATTTCATGTAATTTTTTTTGTTGCGCTGCACCAAATTAGATAAAAATTGGGTGCTAGATGCAAAATTTCTCGATGAATCCGACAGCGGACTCCTTTTAATTCTATTTTGGCTGGTTTTCTGACGTCAGCATAATCTACGCATTTTTTGCTTAAGTTTTATTTTTCCCAATGGCGCCTTTTTTTCAATCAATTAGAAAAGCACAATCCAGGCAAAAACCACGTAGATTATGTCGCCGCCAGAAAAGAAGTCAAAATAGAATTAAAAGGAACCCGCTGTTGGATTCACCGAGAAATTTTGCATCTAGCATCCAATTTTTATCTAATTTGATACAGCGCGGCAAAAGTACCTAATTTTCTAATGAGGAAAGTCAATTTTTATTCTTAAAAATTTAAAGAACGGGATCCAAAATCCTGTAGAAACCGGCTCCTTCTCAAAATGTTTTGATTTCGATGTAGATCGATAGAGAATTCAACTCTATGTAGTTTTCGGAGCTTGGAGATGCATCTTGTTGAAAAAAGAAAATATAATAAATAAAATGTTTTTGATGCTAAGCTGCCATTAATAATTATTTTTGATAAGAAATGGGAATGCAATTTTTTTTCAAATATGCCAATCGCTAGAGCTTGGAGAGCTGATCAAGAATATGTGCGAAGAAATGCTTGAAAGTAAAAATAATCGTTAACTTTTATAGAAAAACCACTTCGGATCTAACTTTTTAGGGTTCTCCCTCACGATATTTCGCTTTTTTCTCTACCATTCAAGCTTTAGTCACAAACTATTCCTGGTGTAATGAGTGGCCTGAGAAGACAGCTACAAGAATATGTATAAAGCATTGGGTTAAAAGTTTGGAATCATCGGGACAATAAATTCAACATAACACAAAATCAGTATACTTTTGGGAATAAATGCAAATCACAGCGTGCAATAAGAACGAGAATCGGCCCCTTTTCAGATCTTCTCGAAAGGTATCTAGAATAAAAGAGCATACAATTTTATGGGGTTCTACATCGTTGGTTCCCCTTCGGATCCCATATCTGTCAGAAAATCGATCAACTTTGAACAATAGCTCCGCGAGCCCATTCCGAGGTGTTTTTCGTAATTTTCTCAGAACACAACAAGTTTGAAGGAAAGTCGTATACACCATTCGATGTAGCTTTAAACGGCGAACAAAACTGTCTATTGCTCAATTGTTATGTACACTGCGAACACCCCACGTTTTTGCCATATTACTGTTAAAAATGACCTTTTCAGCATAGTCAACGATAGTATTTCAGCTTTTTTATCGGGAAAGAACCCAGGTTGCCGTCTACATTGTATATCGAAAGAAAGCTCTTTCAAAACTCTGCAAAACGGTGGGTAATTTATTTCTCGTTGGAAGTGTGAACACTCACTTTTTTAGATATTACTACTGAAGATCGATGTTTTTAAGCATAGAGACGGATAATGTCTCTGTATTTTTACGATGAAAGAACTTAGGTTGCGGTCTATATTGTATATCAAAAGAAAGCTTTTCTAAAACTCTACAAAATGGCTGGTAATTCATTTCTAGTTACAAGTGCGAACGCCCAGGTTTTCGGATATTACTACCGCAGAGTGATGTTTTCGGCATCGACGGATAGCGTTGATTCATATAAAAGCTACCACCATTTACATCGACCTTTGACGTCAGTGGCGAGACCTGTCTCATATTATAGTGCTCAGCAAGCCGAATCGAATGGTGCAAACCGCAAGTCTCTAGCCTTGTTAGAAAAAACGTTATAGCCATTCTACCCTCGCAGCGAAAAAATGCATTTTCTGGAGGATTTGTCCTGATTTGTAGAACGTCTGCTGACCACATTTCCTAACGTGAATCTTTGAAGTTGGTATCCAATGAAAGAGCGCGTCGAGTTCTATACATTTCGATGAAGAAACGTTATGCTAAGCCTCGGGGTCTTGAGACAGAGATTTCTGAAAAACTCGATTTTCTAGAAACCTAGTGACCTTCAGATTTCTTTCACAAGTTTTTCAACAATATCATTAGATAGTCCCTTCAAATCTCCACTAAATGAGATGTTGAACACGTTTCTACGATGATGTGCCACAATGCCAGAAAAAATGCGGTACAGGTTGAAACTTCGGCGTAAAAGCAAATCAGGTTATATTCGTAATGTTAAACAGCCTGTGACTCTGTCGTTCGAGATTGTAGACACTGTCTGAGTGGCAAAACCGTGGGTGTTCGCAGTGTACATAACAATTGAGCAATAGACAGTTTTGTTCGCCGTTTAAAGCTACATCGAATGGTGTATACGACTTTCCTTCAAACTTGTTGTGTTCTGAGAAAATTACGAAAAACACCTCGGAATGGGCTCGCGGAGCTATTGTTCAAAGTTGATCGATTTTCTGACAGATATGGGATCCGAAGGGGAACCAACGATGTAGAACCCCATAAAATTGTATGCTCTTTTATTCTAGATACCTTTCGAGAAGATCTGAAAAGGGGCCGATTCTCGTTCTTATTGCACCCCGTCCTTTACCATTAAGAATCACTTTCAAAGTAAAATAAAGGTAATATTCGTAATCAACGCTAAGAACGAGTCGAATGATGATCCTCACGCAAAACGAACTAAAAATTCACCTACGGCCCCCACACAGGCGATTTTTGATGAAGAAACGAAAGTTTTGTTAAAATCATGAATAACACATCATTCGAGTGAGCTCCTCTAGCTCTATCGGCTGACATATTTGAAAAAAACTCCATTCTCATTTCCTATCGAAAATGGCAATTCAGCGTCAGAAACGTAGAAAACTGTTATTTAGTGTGAAGGCAGAAAGTCGATATTGATTTGTTTTAAACTTTGCAACATGTTATTCGATTCAATTCATTCCGCAATAAAAACAATCTCACTATTGATAACATCTAATCTATCATTGTTCAATAGTAAAGGATAGAAAACAAAACATGAGTTAGCGTATAAAAATGACATAGTTTCTTAGCGAAAGTAGTAGTAAGTTTTCTAGAAAGCTTGGCGATATCTCATTTTGGCGAGAAATTTTTTCTCTACGCCAATATGACTTTCACCAACTAGACGTTCGCCAATTGTCGACAGTCCACTTGACTTTCGCCAATTGCCTAGCGTCCATGGATTGTACAGGGTGTCCCAAAAGTCCGGCGGGAAAAAAAATCTTAATAACTTCGCCATTTCTTAACCAAACTTCGAGATCTTCTTTTTGTTTGATAGAGAAACGTCCCAAGTTTTATTTCGTACGGTTGGAAATTTTTGTGTAAAAAAGGATCAGTACGGAAAATTAATAAAACTTACATACAACATATGTTTTCTGTTTAAGTACTTGTAATAGTGTGTAAAGATTGTTGAGTTTGTCATAATTAAATGGAATCTTTGTCGGAGTCGCATTACGTCTCATTTTGTAGAACTCAGGTTGTTCTACAATCCCACATATTCAAATGTTTTGTCCAGCTTAAAGTTTTGCCACAAGAAGTTAATTTCTCCATATTAGCATGATCTAGAGATTGCGACTTCTGCAATAGCCTGATACAACCTTTTACAGGCTTTCAAACTATTCCAGTTTATAAGGCTACTTTTTTTCAATAGAATTCCACTAGTAGTTTTTCCTTTTATTAGTTAACTTTATCTGAAAAATGTTTTTATTACTTTTTTGCACTTTTCCAGATGCTGGTATGGAATAACAATGACTAAAGAAATCCATACCAACCGGTCATTTTTAAACAAAAGCAAATTCTTATTTCATTATGTGAAAGCCGTCATCATCTGCTTTATTTTAATATTAAAAATTATTTATGTTCTTTTCAAAAAGTTTTGCAGCACATAATTTATTAAAAACGAGTCCCAAAATATCTGAATTTCACTATAATAAACCCAAACATCTTTTCAAATCTTAACAAGCGTTTCCAATCGTACGAAATAAAACTTGGAACGTTTCTCTATCAAACAAAATCACAAGATTGAAGTTTGGCTAAGAAATGGCGGCGTTACTAAAAATTTTTTTCTTGCCGGACTTTTGGGACACCTTGTATTGGTGAAAGTCCATCTGAGCCGCAGGACTTTAGTTGTGTTGTCTGTCATTGCAAGTTACATTCTTTTTAGGGTTAGTTTGTATATGACGTAGGCATTTTGATATGCACATATCACGCACAGTTCTGGAAAGCAGCTAATCATCATCGTCGTCCGATGATGACATTACAGATACATCTTGTTGTTTCTTTTTTCCCCGTTGTTTACGAAGCACTGGTGCATCAACCAAGAACGAAAAGGCCGATATAACTTCTTCTAATGTTTTCTTTCCATGTCTAACAGATTTAGTTGATGAGCGATTGACGACCTTTACGAGATGTAAAGAGAAGCAAGAGAAACAGCCACGTCACAATGAAGAAAAATCGAAATATAAAATTTTAACCTGTCTGTGTAGGATCCGAACCGACTCTCGTTTAAAAAAACGGTAACTTGCATTAAGAGACAATGCAATCGAATTATTGGCAAAAAATCCATGGGTTGTATTGGTGAAGGCTCAGTGTATTTTTGCCAATTAGCGAAAGTACTAGCGGACTAACGAAAGTTTAGAGGACCTTCGCCAATTGGCGAAAGTACACTGGATTTTCTCAGTTTGTTAAAATTTCCGTTTGGCGAAAGTGATACTGGCGTAGTTTCCGATTCCCAATGGTATAACTTCTGTATTTATATACTGCACAATTCTCTTCAAGTGCCCAAGCAAAAACGACCCAGTTTTTTGGGTTATTTATCTAGATTCAGGTCCACGTGCATCTAGATGTACGTGGAGCTGAATCTAGATAAATAACCCAAAAAATTGGGTCGTTTTTGCTTGGGTAGAGCACTTGCGAGGTGGAAAATGGCTTGCGAAGCCATTGATTCGTGGAAATGTCATCAGCTTCGTGCAGTTAATCAAGACTATTCTCGACAGGAATTATTGGATGCGTTAGATAAAAATAGTATTTATGTATTCATGG